AGAACCACCACGTACAGACGTATGCAAGACATGGGTTTCAGCTGTTGCATTCCTTGTGTCAAGCCACTCTTGAACAAGACACAGTGTCAGAAGCGTCTCGCCTGGGCTAAAGACAGAAAGGACTGGACTGCTGCTGAGTTGTCCAAAGTTATGTTCTCTGATGAAAGTAAATTTTGCATTTCCTTTGGAAATCAAGATCCCAGAGTCTGGAGGAAGAGAGGAGAGGCACAGAATCCACGTTGCTTGAAGTCCAGTGTAAAGTTTCCACAGTCAGTGATGGTTTGGGGTGCCATGTCATCTGCTGGTGTTGGTCCACTGTGTTTTCTGAGGTCCAAGGTCAACGCAGCCGTCTACCAGGAAGTTTTAGAGCACTTCATGCTTCCTGCCGCTGACCAACTTTATGGAGATGCAGAATTCATTTTCCAACAGGACTTGGCACCTGCACACAGTGCCAAAGCTACCAGTACCTGGTTTAAGGACCATGGTATCCCTGTTCTTAATTGGCCAGAAAACTCGCCTGACCTTAACCCTATAGAAAATCTATGGGGTATTGTGAAGAGGAAGATGCGATATGCCAGACCCAACAAAGCAGAAGAGCTGAAGGCCACTGTCAGAGCAACCTGGGCTCTCATAACACCTGAGCAGTGCCACAGACTGATCGTCTCCATGCCACGCCGCATTGTTGCAGTAATTCAGACAAAAGGAGCCCCAACTAAGTATTGAGTGCTGTACATGCTCATACTTTTCATGTTCATACTTTTCAGTTGGCCAACATTTCTAAAAATCCTTTTTTTATATTGGTCTTAAGTAATATTCTGACACTGAATTTGGGATTTTTATTATTTGTCAGTTTTAATCATCACAATTAAATGAAATAAAAATTTGAAATATATCAGTCTGTGTAATGAATGAATATAATATCCAAGATTCACTTTTTGAATGGAATTACTGAAATAAATCAACTTTTTGATGATATTCTAATTATATGACCAGCACCTGTATATGGAGAAAAAAAAAAATTCTTATTACCAGGAAGGAGACTATCGGAGCTGAAATACTGATTGACCATTTTTGACTACAAAAGCATAACCTTTCAGAACCTGGATCCGAGACAAGACTTCATGAACCATAAAAGGTTAGCAAATGTGCCATGTAAAACATAAGCTACCCTCAAATTAAATAATGACTTCCCATATAACTGTCCAGCAGAAAGCGGATATGCGGATATCCCCAAAAACTACTCCTTTAAAGGGACAGTGATTCTGCAGAAGGATAGTTAAAATTCAAACTCAACTGCCAAATACACCCCTCCCTTCAGTGCTCCCTCAGAAGCTCCGCCGCACAAATGCCAAATCTCTTCTTCGCTTCGCCAGATAACTTTCTTCTCTTGTTTATATTCTTCAGACCTTTTCCTCTAAGGCTGTTTCTCGGACATCTCCCTTCCTTCACAGAACCTGAAGTTCAGCACGTTCGAATGTGCCAGTGTATAGAAGTCTCTCCCACTGCCCCTGTCTATTGAGTTCTGTCCATGCTTTAAATGAATTAAAATTGCTTGTGATTGGGTAAACCACTATTTTTTCCATTGTTACAAATTTCAGTGAAGTAAACCCCTCAGTTTCTTTCAGGGTTTTTTTTTTTTTTTTGGCAGTAATGAAATGAGCCATAGATTATAATGGTACTTGTCACAAGTGGATGACTTAACATTTTCATACATGTAAATTAATCATTCATCTTGGTGCAGGCAAACAGCTTACTCTTACATACTTACTTACTCTAGCATGTATACAGTTAATAAGTAAAAGATGGGCAGTCACAGGACATACTGTAATAGTTTGAAAGTATGATCATTATGTTTGCAAATAATAGGCATGAGTATATTACCTCAAGGACTAATGGATAGTTGAGTGGAGCCTGACACAAGAGCAGTGTTTAACTGGTTAAAGCAGCTCAAGTAGTCTATACTAATTGTCATTTTGGGTAACACTCAACTTTCATTAGGATTTAATTTTTAGGATGCAGCTGACTGCAGACAGCCTTAGCTCCTTTGTGACAGAATGTTCAGCTGCTCCCATGACAAAATCTTTTCTGTTAATGTCACTGTCACTATTCAAGGTAGGCCACTGGACTAGTTGAAGATACTTGAAGACTTTTCGGTGGTTTCATCAACTTTGACTTTGGTAATTCCACCATTTAACCTATTTGGGGTTGTTATCAAGGTGATGGATACCACTTGGTTCATTAGTGCTCTTGGGTGATTGTGTAACGACAGTGGTGGTTGTTGGAGTCATGTGAGGCCAAGTCTGAATGACCATCGTTGGCGTTGTCACATGAGGCCAAATGTGAGTGGCCAGTCTCCTGAAAGGTGACAGATCAAAGGACAGGACAATCTCTTCCCAAGAGAGTGAATAAATGAATCTTCAACCAGTCCAGTTGCCCTTGATTTGTATTTTCCTTGGATAAGTATGGCCCAGATGAGTGAGAATCTTCACAGACACTTTCAATATTAATTCTATTGAAAACTGTTTACATCAAGTCTGCAGATTTCCCATAGAAACCACAACATAATAGGGCCCCTTTCACACTACATGTAGTAATTTGATCCAGAGCTAAACATATTGATCTTTAATATCCCATCCTCTGGAAAAATAACTGACATTTACAATAAAATACTGTTGTCATTAATGGCAATAATTCAGTCACAGACACAAGCTCTTCACTAAAAACGTGCGTTTAATTCAAGTATTGAACATTAAGGCAGTGTTTGCATATTGGTGTTGAATGTCAACACTATGTCAAAAATGAAAGTCAAACAGACTTCCCCTAAAAACATGTGATGTAATAACTATCATGATTTAAGATGATGATAAAGTAAGTGTATGAAAATACAAAATTATATTTTTTCTGAATTTATAAACAAGAATGTCTACATCTTATTACAATACCACTTATATTATTGACATGGAAATGTTCACTTGAAGGTAAAAATATTACTGATGTTACTTTAAAGAAATTGTTATTGTTTTAATAAAAATGCAGGGATTTAACAGAGACAATTGCTCTTGCAATCAGAAAACATTTGTTGTTAATAGACCAAGATAAACCCTTTTGAGGCATTAGTTTATGCAGAAAAAATATAAAAAAAATTTTGAAACAGATCAGGGCAAGAGTACAAGTATAATGTAATGAGTCCTGGTTTGAAGGCAAGGCTCTCTGTGTGTGAATATGAAAAGCACTCAGTCCTTGTGATGTAAAGCTTCTGTTTACTGACCTTTTAGAAATGATTTGGAGGTTCAAGGTAACAGTTGGCACCTCAGGAAATACCGCTGATAGTATCTGAATCTCCATGTCTGAATTCGACTACTAGACTACTGGATTAAAGCCATTGGCTTTACTGGTCAAATGCTTGAAGTGACATAAAAAGTTATAATACACAAGTGTGTTGTATGAAAAACATATTAATCAGCAACTCAATGGAATCTAACCTCAAAAGTGAAGAAAACACATTTGAGACTGCTAAAATGTATACAAAACAACTGTAAAATACAAAACAAGCAAGCATGCACATATTAAATGTATATTACAGTGCTTGCTGTTTACATTTATTAGATCTCATGTATTGATACCACTGGTGCTGTGGATCATGGGCAGTCCCTGAAATGTGTTCAGACACGCACCTTGGTCTGTGAGTCTGAGCATTCAGATTCAGTGATTAAAAATAAGCCATTGATTTTTCTAAAGTTCCATTTGCCTTTCCTACTGTTCATTCCCTTTTCTTTGCTACTGCAGTCCTTGCTACCTGTGTCCAGACATGAATTCATTTGGGGCAAGTATGAAAGGAGAATAAAAGCAAGCACAATTAGCAAATTATGTGTACCTACCTTGCAGACAATTGTAAAAAAAAAACTGGACACTCACCAAAACTGTCTTTGTTAGTCTTCCCACTGTTTCAACAATCACCAACTCTTACTTGGGGCCCATCGAAGTAGCTCATGTCCACTAAAAGTGCAACATGACAACATATGGAAAGGAACCCTATAGAGACTTTTTTGTTAAACAGTAATATCCTTTTTGTTTAACCAGATACAGCCATTCCATCGCTCTCGCTTGTCACCAGACTCCGTTGAAAGAAACAATATTTATAACTCGCACATCATTGTTAAACACACTTCATTCAAACAGGAAACATTATAAAACTCAACTGTCTCAACTGTCTTTGTTAGTCTTTCCTCTGTTACAACTATCACCAACTCTGGTTTGGTTGAAATAAACCTTTAAATCACAGCCTTATATGAGAAAAGAAACATTTGTTTGTATCGCTCTCTGTCTGCTCTTCTCCGCCTTCTCTGTTCTAATCTACACACAGTCCTTAATCTTCACTCTTCTACTTATCTACTTCGTTGCTCTCTCTGTGCTGAGTCCATATCATATTGTTACTATTATTCATATTATTATTATTACTCTGAGCTTAGCCTAGCCTACTGGCTTATTAAAATATCAGTGTTTTTGGATAAAAACTAGTTGATTATATAATGTCAGACTCAGGGCTATGAGCCCAGTAGAGTAAGGCCCCATCCACACTACTCCGTTTTACTTTACAAACGGGGAATTAAAAAGAATATGATCTCCGTCCACACCAGCGTTTTAGCTGCATTTTGGAGTTGATCACTGTCTATATTAAAACGACTGAAAACACACAGCTAGTGGCCGTTCACGTACACTGGGTATGCGCGTCTCAGTGTAAACATGAAGCAGACGGTCTATTCCCTAGTTACAGAAGATTTGGTGAAAGAATAATTAAATACAGACGAAGAATCAGACCAGTTTTTTTTTGCATGCACCAATAACGAGCTGGGGCTGTTACTGAATGTAACAGGGAGTGTGGTGGTGGGAAACAGACTGGGAGTCGTCGCAAAGTAAACGGCAACATGCACAGTACAAGTGTAGGCAGATAAGTGTTATTTGCACAGTACAGAATATTTTAATAAAAATACCACGTCAAAAACCTGGGCAGTAGCATCGTGTTTCTGCTTTACATGACTTATGAGACCCAATCAGAGAGCCGAGCGTGAGCGGCTGCGCCATCGTTTCTAAAGTCCTCCGTTTTGGCCCGTCTTCACTAAAACGCAAAAGGGGGTCAACAGCATTTCCAAAATTCTCAGTTTTAGGTCTTCGTTTTCGCCATTGTAGTCTGGACGGGAGGTGCAAACGTAGCAAAAGGTCTCAGTTTTAATTTGAAAACACAGTAGTGTGGATGGGGCCTAAGGCCATGTATGCCTCTACAGCTTCTGTACACATGAAGGAGTGGCCTGAGAGGGGTCTTGGAAGGGACTGTGAGCAATGGATCCTGGTTTTTGAAGGCTTCTCACTTTCTCTAGTTGGCACCAGTTTTAAAAAATCCTGGAAAACTGCTTTAAAGAATGCTCGCTATGGTCTTTTTTTTTTAAGGGTGCAAACCATCAGCAAATTACTTGATAGGATACTCTTCTTAATTAGATCCTCTTGGTACACCCATGTTTTCATGGACAAAGCTTCCTAAAAGGCATCCTCAAAGCTACCTAATGCAGTATTGTAGATTTCAAGACAGCACACCTAATTTTACTTTCAGGTTTACAAAGAAAAGCAAAAGAAATAGAACACACCACAGCATTATCTATAGTACATTCTTCATCCAGCTGCTCTACACCAGAGAGTTTTCTGACATGCTTTCTGCTGCTGCAAATGGACTATTTGCATGAAGAACGGCAGCATGAACTGTATGAAACAGCAGGCTGCTCATGTCTTTGTCATTCTTCCCAAAGAATTGTCCCTTCTGCAGGGTATCAATGACTGAGGTGTTACAGTTGGCTAGGAGAACACTCACCCTGATCTCTTTGTATTCCTTGACCAGCCCTTTAAATGTGGCCATGCCTGTTGAGTCTATGAACGGGATGGCAGAGCAGTCTAAAACTATCGTGTGGAAATCCAGTTCTCTTTTGATCAGTCCAATAACAACCTGTCTGTTGTTTTTATCTCCATTTGCCTTTGCCTGCTTCATGGACATGTCTTTGGCCTTCTTCTCAGCCTTTCTCCTCTTAGTCATCTCCAAGAAAGGTTCAACACCGACAGCTTTGTAGAGAGATTTGAGAAATGAGTCATTGTTGGCGTAGTACAGGGGAGCCTGGAAGCGGAAGACGTGAACCCGAGGTGGTGGCATGAGGTTCTTGTACTCATCCATGTCCTCATAAAGATCAGTGTCACTGGCACGGCCCAGGAGAGAGACCTGATGTCAGACATCAGATTAGATTAGACTATAAGATTACTTTAGCCCAGTATTTGTCTTAACGAAACATTTGGTCTTCGTAAGTCATGGCTGATATGGTGGAGCTTCTGGTCTGCAAAATCTGCCATAAATTTTCAAAACTTTTCACAATCTGGAAATATTTAGATTTGTATCAGCAACCAGTATTTGCATGAAGTTCATTACTCACCTTAGGGTTCTGGGTCTTGAAGATGATGCAGATCATGGAAAAAACTATTCCAACCAGGAGGCCCAGCTCTACACTGATCAGAGCCGTGGCTGACATGGTGACCAGCCAAACAATGGCGTCATTCCGGCTGGTACGCCACTTCTCCGGGATGTCCTTGAACTTCCTCAGTGCCCCCCGAAGGCTGACAATGATGATACAGGCAAGAACACACTTCTGGAGAGCATAGAAGAACGGTGCAAAGAAGAGGAGAACGAGAAGGACGACCAGGGCGCTGATCAGACTCGATAGCTGACGAAGGAGCAGAGAAATGGAGGGAAACGAATACATAGGAAGAAGGAAAGAGAGGTTTTATAGTGAACACCTTCCATAAAGTTAACATGAACAGATAAAATAAAGTATGTTTTGCTGCTCTGAATGCTGGGGCTCAGGCCTCAGGACAGACTTCACTGATGTTCCTAGAAATTATTTCCTCACATAAGAGAGCAAGAATTTGCTATAACCTCCAAAATGTAAAATCAGTATTAGACTTTTGCAGAACTTTTTACCCCGAAGCATTTCTGACAGGACAAAGATTGTGGAAGTTTATAATGCAAACAACTTTTTTTCATTATTCGATAGAAAATCTGAAGAGAGCAACAGGAAATGTGGGAGAGAGAGAGGGGATGACATGCAGCAAAGGGCCCGGCCACTGGGGTAAGCTTCAGCCTTGTACATAGAATGCATGCTGTAACAGGCGCCCATAATGCAAACAACTTATAAAGACCTTGCAGAACTTGTTTCCCTAACGTGTTTTTGACATGACAAACTCTGTTGACGCACAATCCCTGGAGCATCCAATTAGTTAGTCATTGTGCAATTCACCTTCTGACTCAACCTTGTTAAACAAATAAAGGTAGAGAGAACATTTTTTTCTTTATAATCATGAGACAGAGCTGTTAACACATATTCTTTTATATAAGTGCATTGCAAACTGGAAACCACAAAGATCTATAGTGGATTACATAATTTTACAGCAGTAGGTAGCTCAACCCATATCTATGTGTGTCACATTAAAGCTTCTAAGAAAACATGCCATCCATATGAATCCTCAAAACAAAGAAAACGATTGGACCAATCATGAAAAAATTAACATTTTCAAAAGTATGAAATTCACCTGAGTCTGGCAGCCTGTTGAGTCCTTCACCAAGGTTTTTGCCAGTGCTGCGCTGGTCGTCATACAGTGGAAGAAGGATGGGATGATGTTACAGAAGCCAATGGCCAGCATCTCTTGGTTGGGACGAACTGTGTAGCCATTTTTCTTAGCAAACATCTCAGACAGAGACACCGTGAAGGCAAAACTACAACATAAAATGACATCTTTACCAAATGGAGGCTGCAAGAGAGCTTTTCAGACCTTATTTAAACATGCATATTGGGTGATTATTAGAAGATAGCTTTATTTCTGCATCCATAAATCTTCTAAAATTAAGATTCAGTTGTCTTGCAAGGATATCTCTTTAATCGGCTTTTTAAAAAGTATTAAAATGCTACTTGATAAGTGTTTACCAACATTCAGATGAGTTACTTTCCTTTTTTTTCATGACATAAATGATACAGGAGGAAATGTCTAGTTGTGAGTATTTTATATGGAAAGTGCAATCAGAACTCATTCTGGACTATGAGGGCATGCATCACTGCTTGACGGTAATCCAGCAACTAAATTGCAACTGTAATGACCCAGATAAGAGACATGTTGATGCCAAGTAAATATGGTGTTAAATTTGCACATTGTACATTACCTAATGACAGCCAGAGGAATGGCATCCAGTGCCACCCGTGGCATCAGACTTAAACTGGGCACCTGGGGAGGAATGAACCCTGTGGGGATGTGACCGGAAATGCTGGAGCTGTAACGGCTGTTAAGTTCCCCGAAATGGCTGGCAAGTGTCGCTCCTGCCACTACTATCAGCTCAGTTGGCAGGGGGATCTTTAGACGATCCTTGTAGCGCTCCTGGATCTCTTTCCCTGCCACTTTGATAAAAAATTCATTGTTATTCTAAAGAAAATTAAGAATTTGGTTTATACTCAAGACCATTACTAAACAACTCACATAAAAGAAATTACAGCAGGTAACTCAATGTGTCTGTGAAGATTCTCAGTCATCCAAGTCATAGTTATCCACAGAAGGTTAATCACTGGCAACTGGATTTGGCTGAGACATTTCGCCTATCATCCAAGAGGCTTATCTAGTATCTTCAACCAAGTCTAGTTGCCCTTGATTTAACCTTTCTTAAAAAAACAATTGTATTGCTTTTTTATGCAACAGAACCTTTAAGGGCAGTACTTGGACTCCCCCCCCTCCCCATGTCATTCTAGGAAGTGTACTATATCATTAATTCATTCAGTGTGAATGAGAATCTGATGGGGAATATGTTAAATATTGGTCTTTACCTAAAATAGAGATACAGATGGCGCTAGTGATGAGGTCACACAAGTTGGTCTTCTGAATGTTTGCGAAAATGTTGATCCAGGTAACAACAACTGTGCCATAGCCCTGGTGACGGGGAATCTTTAGACCCAAAAGGTATTTAGCCTGCACGGTCAGAATGGTGAAAGAGGCTCCTGTGGCAAAACCATCTAGCATAGGAGCAGAAAGGTACACAGAGACGAAGCCTAGCCGAAACACAGCCATGAGCACCTGGTGAGGGGATCAGGAAGTAGAGCAGGAGAGCAAGATAGATTGGGATGTTAAAAGCGAGTCACTTATCAAATGAAATATCATATGATTAACATCGTCATGGTAAAAAAAGATGTTGGCCATGGTAAACATTTTACCTACTATACATGAGCGTGTTAAAATTGTCAGTGTGGCCATGTTAGCAGTTAACTCAAAGCAACACTGTGCCTACGTACAGCCTCAAAGAGCTGCAAGCATGGCTGTATAACTGATTTTTGAAACCTACATTGTGGTTTGCTTGCTAGCAGTCTTACCACCACAAAAACTATTGATTGTTAATCAATAGATTGACATGAAAGTATCTGCAGCACCGTGTATCACCCAGGTCCGCACACATACGTGTGGATCCTCTTGTGTGCACTAGATACTAACACCACTAGCACCACTACTGGACAAAAGCTGCACAGGGTGCCTTTAATTCAGAAATACAGTGTATTATATCATACAATATAGCTGTGGGGCAGACTGTTTCTTTACCTGGTAGAGGCCTGCCAGGAATGTGAGGGCAGCAGCAACGCTAATGGAGTAACACTCCCTCCCGCACTGCAGACCCATTAGCTCCACACTGTGAAGTTTACCCGCTGTGAGATTAGTGTCCAATGTGGCATTAAACACATCCGGTCCAGATGTTTTGGAATCTTCATTGAGGTCAAAACCCGCCAGGAACATCTCCTTATCCACCACCTGCGGGAAAGTACAAACAACAAGCAACAAATCTTAATTAATCAATCATAAAACCTAAGACATAAGACATACCTAAGACATACGTATTCCAAATGAGTAAATGTAAATCATAAAACCTTAGAAATACAGCTGCAAAATATTACAATCCTCAGCGACATTAAACAATCAATTACCTTAATAGCTTAATGACCACTATTGGCAGGAATTACAACAATGTAAATGAAGACCTTTCTGCACAACTGTCTGTCACAGAGTCTGACTTACATACTAATATTTATGTGAATGTTGAAAATGGAAATGTCCTTCCAATGCATGCTGAATAAGTGTCGAATATCCTTTTATGGTAATCATAAATTATACGTTTAATTAATCTTCATCCTTTTGATGGATTTATTTTTATCCCTCAACATTTCATTAAAGACCCAAAATGTATGACCATTGCTTGCCACTTGCGATCCATTACCTGTCCAACCATAAGGCTCATGAGGCTGAAGATCCCCACAGAGACATGTCTCGACGTCCCCATGAGGAAGTATATGATGTTGGCGTAAAATGAGGTGTATAAACCATAGATGGGCTGCACTCCTGCCAGCAGGCAGTAGGCGATGGCCTGCGGTATCAAGACAATACCAACGATCACCCCGGACATAGCATCGCCCCAGATGTATTCTCGGAGCTTGTATTTAGGCAGCCAGTGTACCACAGGGAAGAACCCAGTCAGGGTGGATCGGACTTTGGGCACGGAGCAGGTCACACTCTGCTTCAGCTTGGATTTGAGGACTGAAACTGTGGGCTGTCGCTGGCGAACCTGCCGTTCCAGGAGAGGGGGGGGGGCCCATGGGGTTTCTGTAACCTTGGTGGCCTCCTCCATGGTCTCAGGTAGGACAAGGAAGCAGCACGGTGAGAGGAAGAGGTAGGGGGAGTGGATAATGCAATCAGCAGTGCTCCTGGGCAATCATCAAGGAAAAACGAGGGAGAGAGGACAGACAGGGAAACGGAAACAATGAATATCAGTGGCGATGACTTCACTCAGTAGATAAGATATTGTATCTTCCTGTTAGGTCACTTTCACACTAAGCATGTTTGCTGTGTTATATTTAAATAATGGGGCACTACTCATTACAAGACCACTTTAATCAGTAGGAACAGTGCTATTTGTATTTTTTGTCATCTTCTGAGAGACCTGCAGTGCAGTTTGGGAGAACACAACACAACACCTGCAGACATTGACCCCATACACAAAGGATTATGGCCTGGGTAAGGTACTCATTTTAAGATGTGAAAGGGGAGCAGAATAACATGAAGTCATGACTGATACTCAGATTAAAGGTGCCCTGTGGAGTTTCCTTGCAAACAAACTTGCCAAAACACATTGTGTGCATCCTTGAGGTCTAATAAACACCCTGAACAAAAGCCAAATTTTAAATATATATTTACAATCTAATATTTTAAATCCTACATTGTTTACAACAATAGTTACTAGCTTGCAGTTTTCTTCTTTCCAGCAGCAATGTGTGTTGAGTTTCTGCTATGAAAACATTATAGGGGCTCACATTGTTCTTAGCTGACAAAAACTGTTCAGGTTACCTTTAAGCTCTTTCTTCTATAAATTACTAAAATAGGAATCAAGTTTTTAAACAGGCAGGACTACATTCTGTCAAAATGTAAACTTGTAAACTCCACCCAAATACAGGGTCAAACTTTAATTTCAGCAAAATACATGTTCTCAATCTTTTATGGATTCCGAACCAGATTGAACCAGAAAGATTAAATGTTGCATCTGAATGGTCCCTAGTTTATGACGGAAGAGTGTACTTCTGAAAATATAAACTTCTGAATCTGCCCTTTTGTGTGAATATTTAGTCAGGATTACAACTGAAGTGTTATGGCGAATGAGTTATTTCCAAAAGAATCCAATGATTTAACAGTTTATTCAACAATTGTGTTAAACTTCAATGAATAGTTTGTGTAACTACGGACTGTGTAGTGTCTTTCTTGGTAAAGTTAATGGACAGTTAATTAGCCCCTTTTCCCAAAGCACCGGTTAGTCAGTGACATATTTTTCACCGGGAAGCATTCAGTCAAGCCACTGCCAGCGTCCATGAAAATTCATTTGGCTACACTAAAGTGTTCAGTTGTCTCAATGAAGTTTTTGCAGTGCGAAATGAACGTTGACAATTCAGTTGGAAGTTCAGAATCGAAATTATTAGAATTGTGTTTCTATTTATGGTATAAATAAGGTATATGCTGTTTTAAATAATAGTTCTACCATGCCCAAGCAAATCTGAATAGAAAATGCTGAGACAATAGTATTGATAATTCTAAATGTAATAATTCAAGATGAGGCGCAACCACAAGGCTGCGAGAGAATATGAGAGAGTTACTATAAAGGGCCATGCCAGTACGAGTGGGATAAAAAGAAACATACTGTGGACAGTGGTATTCTTTACAATATATATGTATGTCTATGAAGTGTCTTTGTGACAAATGCTTTGTTAAAGGAATTATTGGACTGAAAAGAATGACAGTATTTTACCAGGTAATGTCTTTATATTATTGGCTGTGAAAATATCATGGACAGAAATGTTTATTTTGGAAATCCAGACATTCTGTGGTATTCATTCATGGAGATATGGGATATGTTCAACAGTACAAATGTGCACAATCTACTTTTAAATGATGATTTTACTTTATGTATGCAATATTTACTTATAATGAGTTAAAGGTGTTTGAAGTTTGAATATTGTGGTTTTCACATTTTTGGTTTCAAAAATGTTTACTCAAGTTCTAAATGCTTTACATAGCTGCTGCTGTCACGGTCAGCAGTGCGTTTAGGCAGGTTTAACAGGTTTTTACAGGTCTACCCAAATACAGACACTTTACTCTGCAGGATTGGTTTTCTTGAGTTATTAAAAGAACACATTTCACACAACTTACTTTGGAAATGCCCAGAACTCAAAATGTCATAATCCAACTTAAAACTGTGACTCCAAACAGAAACAAAAATCCAAAAAGCAAATGTAAAGTCCAAATCCAAAAAACACAGAACAAACAAATATCCAAACAGGGATGAGTATGACTCCACGAACATACAGACAGTGAATGAAAGGCTGCAGGCAGATGAACAGAGCAGGGAAACACATGCCATTACATGATCACAGCTGACAAAGATTGAACAGAAATGAGGACAATAAATACAGACAAACACACGAACAGGGAGGGTACAAACAGGTCAGACGCTCCAGGTAATCGAAGGGAAGACACAGACAGGAAACAAAGCTAGGCAAGAAAACAATGACAGACGGGAGCCTTCAAAATAAAACAGGAAGCACAGGAAACAGGAAAATACAAAAACCCCAAACCGTCACAGCTGCTGTCTATAACAAGTACTGAAGCATCCTAGTGACATGTTGAAACAGTGTGATTACTGTCTTTTACAATCAAACTCATAAGCGTCAGTGTTATGGTCAAGACGCAAAATCGAACTGCTGCTTAAACTAGTTACAAGAAACTATGTCTGCAATTCTGTGTTAACATGTGCAATTTTATTGATCTTAATTCTTAAAATGTATATTACCATATTTACATCATCCAGGTGCACCTACCATCCAGGTGCACCCACCTTAAATCAATCACAGACTCACTCCTGGACCCCCTGCAGTTCGACTACAGAGCCAACAGGTCTGCAGATGATGCAGTAAACATGGCCCTTCACTACATCCTCCAGCACCTGGACTCCCCAGGAACCTACGCCAGGATCCTGTTTGTGGATTTCAGCTCTGCTTTTAACACCATCATCCCGGCCCTGTTGCAGGGCAAGCTCTCCCAGCTGAGCGTGCCTGACTCCACCTGCAGGTGGATCACTGACTTCCTCATGGACAGGAAGCAGCACGTGAGGCTGGGAAAACATGTCTCTGACTCCAGGACCATCAGCACCGGTTCCCCTCAAGGCTGTGTTCTTTCCCCCTTCTCTTCTCCCTGTACACCAACAGGTGCACCTCCAGTCACCAGTCTGTCATGCTCCTGAATTTTGCGGACGACACCACCCTCATTGGGCTCATCTCGACCATCTGGTGATCTGGTGCAGCCAGAACAGTCTGGAGCTCAACGCTCTGAAGACCGTGGAGATGGTCATGGACTTCAGAAAGAGCCCAGCCCCACCCTCCCCAGGCACCACTGTGGACTCCTTCTGCTTCCTGGGCACCATCATCTCTCAGAACATCACCTCCCTCACCAAGAAGGCCCAGCAGAGGATGTCCTTCCTGCGGCAGCTGAAGAAGTTCAGCCTGCAAAAGACAATGATGGTGCACTTCTACACCGCCATCATTGAGTCCATCCTCACCTCCTCCATCACCATTTGGTACGCTGCTGCCACTGCCAGGGACAAGGCCAGGCTGCAGCGTATCATTCGCTCTGCAGAGAAGGTGATTGGCTGCAATCTTCCTTCTCTTCTGGACCTGTACTTTATTTATGTCGACTGTATGTTTGTCTACGTGTAGCACCTTATCACCACAGCAAATTCCTTGTATGTGTAAAACACTACTTGGCAATAAAGCTCCTTCTGATTCCGATTCTAAAATCAGGTTGTGGGCAGGTTGGAGCAAAAGCCCCTCAAAAGGTCTGTGCATTTCCCTGACGCTGGTGCTGTGTGTTGTGGTCTGATATGTGGGTTGAGGACAGGGTTATTATAAAAGTATGTCAGAGCAATGGGAAGACTAAGAATATGTTTATATATGGACAGCAAGAGAGCCCAAAACCACGGAACTGCATGGAATCAATCCTGGTGCTGCTTATGGAAAACTGAAATGGCGATGTCAGCCTTTTAGTGAGTGATTCCAGGCTGAAATATCTCAGCAACTATAGGATGGATTGCCATGACATTTTGCACACACATTCATGGCTCCTGTCTGGCATAGATATGTCCCTCTAGGGGTGAATCATCAGGTCAACATTTAAATTTGTCGGGTACTTTGGTTGATGGCCAAATACGTGCAAAACTAATGACAATCCCATCAGCCTCAGCTGTGCTTTGTGTTTTGTGCTAATTAACAAATGTTAGCATGCTAACACTCTAAACTAAGATGGTGAACATGATAATTAATATACATAAACATCAGCACGTTAATATGAATATGATGTCATTTTGAGCATATTAGCTCGTTGTAACTTAAAGCATTGACAGCCTCACAGGCCCACTAGCACAGACTCTGCCTGAAAATGTGGTCTTTTATCACCATATTTAAATGATTATCATATCTTGCTTTTCACCGAGCCTTCAAGTGTGGCAGTTCAGAACAACTATAAACATGTTTGCATTCCAGTGTGCTGTGACAACACATCATACAAAGTAGTTTTTTATAGCTTGGTCTTGTTACCCTGCAAATACAGTAAGTGGCCATTGTCATTTCTCTATAACTGTGCTCTGCTATTAATACCTATAATCTTTGCATACTGATGATGTCAACATTCGCTGACATAAAATCTCAATACTGTTTATTTAAGTGTTAAATTAGCCATGCATTTGTGGTTTTTATGTGAATTAAATTTGAAGGCCATAATGTATCCTACAGTTGTAATGGAGTTTAAGCATTACATGATGTTTCAGTAGGTTTCCACAGAATATGATACCATTAAACTGGTCAATTGGCATTTAAACCCTTAACTGACACTACCTATTCAACTTACACACCATGTCTCAGACCCCATTAAACACTCTAAATCATGTGTTATCGGCCTCTGCCATCACAACAACACTGGTATGTGCTGTGATTTAGACTTCCTGTGGCAGCGCTGGCAACTCTCAAGGACTGATATGACGGGGATAAAGAATAGAGGAATGCTTTTTAAATGTTTACTTTCATCATGTTTGTTGTTTTGCAGTTCAGATTTAAGTTTCATCATGCTTTTCTTCTTCTTTGTTGATTTTTCTACTCACTGTTTCTAGGCTGTTTTAATTAGCAGGACATTAAATGTTAACATTGCATGGAAATTACCCTTTAAAAAACAATACAGAGCCCAGTCAGTGTTCATAAGGGTCTTACAAATCCTTGAGATAAGTAACGACCTGTGTAGTTTACAGTGTAGCACACAAAATAAAAGAACACCTTCTAAAAAGAGAATACAAGAACTACTTTACATTTGTGTTCAACACTCCTGCCAGCAGATAAAAACGGTCCACTGAAACAAAGTTTTCTTTCAATGAGAGAAAGACAGACACCTGATTAACTGCTTAATACGACAGGAGTCACAATGAGGACCTTCTGGGACCAAAAAAATAAAATTTGTTTCAGTGTCAACCCTGAACAGCCCTGACAACTTAATTAAAGCGGTTTTCAGTAAACCATTTCTAATCAATGTTCTCCGCCTTTAATCATGTGATATAAAAGCACCCACCACTGCTTAGAAGTGACCTGAAAGCTTCCTTCCTTTGCCTTCATGTATATTTGAAATCTTTTTGATCCAGTTATATTAGGAGACTAAAGGGGCGAAAATAACTGACTTCACAGCCAACAACATCTAGCCGATATTTGGTGGGATTTTTTCTCTACTCACATCAAATCATGTCAGGTCCTTAATATCACAGCAACAATATCACCCTGTTTTCAATCTACCGGTCCAACCTTTTTTTCTTTATTTTGTCTTGATATAAATATGAATTAACTACAGAAATATAATTAATTGTTATTTACTATAGGCAGGCAAGTGTTGGTCAAAAGTATCAAGATATGTGATATTCAAATTTTTTGAATCCTTTGTAGCTGATGTTGATTTAGAGAACAGGTTGTTTTAAAAAGATGCAAATCATTGTCCAAACCTTCATGTTTAACTAACCCTGCAAAGCCAACAGTCAAGAGATGATTTTCAATAAATTTGACATTAAAGAAATTCATAAAGGTAACAGTCAGGGCTGCAAACAATGATTTCTACAAAAAAATGCTCTACTCAAGTGCTTGATTTTAATGAAGCATTTTGAACATGTTGATTCAGGTTGAAAATGATTCAAGAAAAATACAAAACTTGCTTGTTACTTAGTTCCCCATGGTGATTGGGAAAGGTCTCATGCGGACCAACCGACACCTCTCCAATTCAGTAACGCTCTCCAAACTGGAGTGGAAACCACCTTTTCTTTAACAGAAAATTTTCCCGCAGATTGCAAATCCAAATCAAACTACAGCAGAACTGTGGGATACCTTGTAATTCTTCCCTGTCCAAATGTAGTTAATACAATACTCACATAAAGACAATGATTGTAGATACACTGTAGATGGTGAATGCAAAATGTTAATGGGACTGCAGATTTAATAAAGATTCTCTGGTCATATTGTAACTATTCTTCAGATGCTTTCCAGGTGGAATAAAAAACAACTTTGAAAACGTCATTGGTCATTTCTTCGAACATCTAAATCCAAATTATAGGAGCTCACAGTTCCAGTCAGTAATGTGTGGTAACGTACTCACCTGCAGAGTCACTGCCACAGGGACAAACAGGAACACAAGTCTCTGATGTGATGTATTAGAATAAACTCTGTGTTGATTGCCTTAACTTCTTCTCATTCTCTGCCTGTCTGTCTCTCTCGCTTGCTCTTACACTCTCTGTATGTCTCTCTCCGTCTCTGATGTCATCCGAGCTGTCAGACAGCAGGAGATGTGAGTGTGATCATCACTGCTGGATAAATAGTAAGATAAGAGCGGCCCTTTGCTCACCCTCACACTGTTCCCTATTGGCTTGTTCACCAAGAGTGGGTGGGGCTTGTCATATTTTGCACCAACTGAAAAATGTGTGTGTGTGTGTGTGTGTGTGTGTGTGTGTGTGTGTGTGTGTGTGTGTGTGTGTGTGTTTGTGTGTGTAGAAGAGGCAACTATGGGAAAGAGGTGTATGTTTAAAAACCTGCAGAAAGAGTGGATTATATAGCAAACAGAAGATAAGGTCTGCCTGAGGTGCAACAAGCAAAGAAGCACTGCTGTTATCTGTGTTACAGCGCAATAAACACCCTACAAGTATTGTGTGTTTATAAACAGTGCAACTAACAATGATTTGTACCTGCCAGGTCAGATATAAACTAAGACGCATGCAGGCTGAAAATAGCACACAGGTAAAGAGCTCATAATCAGAAGCATGAGCCAAGCGCCTAAAATCTGAAGTACTAATTAATACTCTCACATATTTTGAAAGGGTGTTTGATGTTGTAAATAAATGCTTTAAAGTGAAAAACTAAACACACTGCTGCATTTTTTCATTCAGCTGCTTTAATACACACTTAATTGAACTTTAGATTTAAAAAGTTGTATAGCCTTATTAGTAGAAAATGTACTTTGTATGCCTACCATTTTTGTTTCCATTTTATTTCATCATTGTACGAATATCTCCTGGCATAGTACTTGTACCTTGCTAGAGAAAAAGTAAGCAAACATCTACAAACAAATCTTGTTAAATAAAACAAATTTACTAGCCCAGTCTGCATTGTCTTATATGGGTCTCATAAATCCAGTCTGACTTTTTCAGGCAGATAAAAGACACAGGAGCTAAGTAATGAGCCTGTGTAGCTTTGATGTATACAACACATAAGGTAAAAGAACCTCTTCCATAAAGAGAACACAAGAAGTACTCTGCATTTGTGTTCAACACTCCTGCCAGCAGATAAAAACGGTCCACCGAAACAAGGTTTTCTTTCAATGAGAGAAACACAGACACCTGATTAACTGCTTAATACGACAGGAGTCACAC